TTTTTTGGCGAGGCAGCCGCTTTGGTTTTTATGGCGACAGCGTCTTTTTTCGGCTTGGCGACATTTTTGTTGGTATCTTTGGCGGCACCGAGGCGGAAACTGCCTGAGGCTCCAGATCCTTTCGACTGCTTTAGCGTTTCCGACTTGACGCCATTCCTCAGGGCTACTTTGAGGTGGGTGTTGACGGAGTGTTCGTCGCTTCCGACCTTGAAGTTTGCCATGAGGTACTTGAGTATGGCCTGCCTGGACGATCCGCCGCGTTCTTTGAGAGCGACGAGAGCCTGGCGAACCATTTCGTTGTAAGACGGATGTTCTACGACTTTTTTTGTACTTGCGGCGGCCGCTGACTTTTTCTTGCCACCGGCGGCCGATTTTTTGGAAGCGGCTGTCTTCTGCGCATCACCTACATCGGCGTTAGATTCGACGTTAGCAGACATTTCGCGATGAAAAATCTATACGAGACGGGGGAGACAGAGAGAACGCGAGGTTAACTGAAACGGTACAGGAGAACATGAAACATTTGCCTTTATACCGATATTTAAACGCCTACCTAACGGAGAGCTTCATTTTAGTTCACACGTGATCATTTACGATCGTAAGCGAGCACCTAGATTAATAGTCTCGTAAACTTTAAGGAAGGAATGAATGAAACTAACACAAAGTATAATTACATTTTGTTGTACAATATTTAAAAAATCTTTCTGGATGATTATATCGGCGATTCATTAATTATTTTATAGCTTAACCAGCACATCCACTTTTTGAATCACATTTGTGAACGACGATTAGTCTTATTTAATTTAATGTTTTTTAATGTGTTGTTTCAAGTTATTTAATATATTTAAACTCCTACCTAACGGAGAGCTTCATTTCAGTTCGCACGCCTACGCGATCATTTACGATCGTAAGCAAGCATCCAAATTAACAGTCTCGTAAACTTTATGGAAGGAATGAATGTGATTAAATAAAATAAATGAAACAAATGACGTTTTGTCGTACAATATTTAAAAATTTTCTCTGGAAGATTATATTATTTTATAGCCTAACCAGGTATTCTATCACATCTACTTTTTGAATCCCATAGTGAACGACGATTAATCTT